CCAAAATCACTTTAACTTAAACATACGCTATAATTCACAATGATTTACACACTTTACTTACGGGTTGACTTGATTATCCCGTTATCAATTTATCTGCCGACTTATATACTAAAATAGATGGCGTCTAGCAAACGCTAGGACGTTCGACAGGCTCCTCGATCCTTCTAGAACTCCAGCGCATGGTCCCAGCGTCGCGCGACTTCCCCTGTAGTAACAGTACTTTAGTGGTAAGATCCAGCATGGTCTTAATTTGATTCTCAGAAAAGCCATTTAGAGGAATGTTATTACGGAAAAGCTCAGATATGCATATGCTAATGGTTTCATTTAATGGAATATTTGTAAAGAGGGAGGTAACATCAAAGCTCGCCATGAAGAGACTATCTGAGGGGGGTAGTTGACTTAATTCACGTTCAAAGTGGAAGGAATCCGAGATAGTATATTCATTAGTAGTGAGTGGCTGAAGTATAGGTACAAGGAATTTAGCATGTTTGTAACCAGGTGTGCCTATAGTGGAAAGAATGGGTCGGAGGGGGGGGGGACCTGTTTTATGAATTTTGGGAAGGCCGTATAACATACCAGGACGGGAGCCAGTGGGATAAAGCGAAGAAGCAACATTTTCAGATATAATATTTTTGTTCTTTAGTTCTCTTATGTATCTTTGGATTTTTTCCTCACGTTGGATGCTAACAGATAAACAGTACTTTAATATTAGGCCACGCCCGACCCTTGAAAATAATTAAATTATAACAAAAATAACATTTTTTCCTCATACTAGCGAATTTGAGCATATGAAAGTATTATCGCGATACATTTTTTGTAACATGAATGTTGAAATTATAATGTCCTAGACAAACAATTATAGAAACATGGCTTTTTAAATATATTTTGTTCACTTCTGTGTAATTATTTTGTCAGCTCAATATAAATTATGGCTGAAAGTTAATTCCCAAGTAAACCGCTCTGAGAGTTGATTATGTAGGATTAGACTAAAACACAAAAACGAACAAACAAGTTTCTTGATTTTTTATTCTTTTAAAACTTATTTTTGGATTATAATCTCTCAAATATTAAAATGTTTGAAAGCGCTATCTGCAATTATGATTTTGTAAACAACTGCAGAGGTCCAGGTGGTACAGAGGCTGTGACAAGCTAGAAGTAGAAATTGGGGCTCATGGAAGAATTGAAAGTTGTTAAAAGGTGAAGAAAAAAATGAATCCGGTGTTAGTTTTCATTCCAAATATTATTGGTAAGGTGTAATGCTTATCGTGATTATATCATATATATATAATTTTAAAAGATCTTACATTATTTTTTATTTTACAATTATTAAACTATTAATATAAGTTGTAAGATTATAACGCCAATATTTTATAATTTTATTTTTACTTTTAGTAACGTTTGTAGTAGTATGACTAGTATTAAACTATGTTTATAGGTTATAGATATATTTTTTGGTTGAAGGTAGCACTAGTAGCAGCAGCTCCTAAGTCAATTTGATTGTAAGGTGGTTGGATAAGAGAAACTAAAAGGCTGGTGTTAATAAAATGGGACCAACTGAAACCAGACCCTTGTGGAGTGCCTCAAGAGTCAGTGCTTGGGCCTTTGATTTTTATTATTGTCAAGTCGTGACTATGTTTAACAATACACGTGTGTAGATAGTTAAATTGTTAGCATAAAATAATTGTTAGTAAACATGGCAGCAATCTAGATAGCACTCGACGTTGTTATCAGTAGAGTACCTTATTTGAAACATGAAATACAGTGGCATATTAAAATACAGAATTAACTATGCATTTATATGTGTAACAGTCAATATTTAAATGGTAATGTAAAGCCAAGACGGCATAACCTAAACAACGATAACTGTTGTTACACTTATAGCATTACCTGTTTTTTTATTTTTATGAGACCCAAAAATCCAAATTCAAAAGTATATTTTACTATTAATAATAATATGGCATGTGCATTGTAGTATTGGCATAAATAAGCCATTGAAATCACAATGTGGGTGGTGTAAATATAGCCAATGCTTTTTCTTATATACATTAATTATATTGATAATTAATTATTTAAGGTTTGCATATGTCATAAAACTTTGGTATTTCTAGCTGTATTGAGGATGTTGACGTACTATTGGATTATTTGGATCAGTTGGTAAGTTGGACAAACATTTGGCAAATGACAAGTTAACTAGTTGAGTACTACACTGTAGTGTTGTCAGTAGGCACTGACCTCTCATTATACCACAGGAGATAGAAGAGAGTACCTTTACTGATGTTACTAGTAGTACTCACTAGTAGTCTTTGGCTGCATACTGCTCTATTGATTACCCATATTTTGCTTTTCCTAGTTAGATGTAACATATGGTACTTTGTTTTCCAACAATCTCATTCCCTCTGAACATCAATGAAGACCTTGCATGATTGGCATTTTTGCCTTCTAAATTCTATTGCAGAGGAGGTCAGCTTCCTCATTTAACTTTACCCCAGGATGACCTGATACATACATCCACTTTATGGCATTACCTTGCTGTTTCTTTTACTTTCTGCCATCCATTTTCTTGGGTTATTAGGTTGGTATACTCTAGATGACTATATCAGTGTGTGTGTATTCTGAACCTTTTTTAGCATAAAAGAACAGTCAAAAATATTTTAAACATTTTTTTCCCCGAAACATAAAAAAGTCATAAAGAAAGTATAGTAAATGAAGAATTATTTATTATCAATGAACTTTATCATTGCATTAAATATTTCACATTTTTATTTGATATCACATATTTTTGTCACATTTTATCAAAATTTATTTAAATTTTTTACTATTTGATTAATGTCTGCCCATTATGATTTTAGTGATGGGGGTGCAAGGGGGCCATGAAGGGGATTGTTGTGAAACCTTGTAAGTGTAGTGAATGTTGGTATGAACTAGAGAAACTAATAAATAAGCCTAAAGTAAAGACATAGTGTGAGATAACCCAGCCTAGAGCCAAGTGCATAAAATTTATCATGAAAGTAAAAATATTGATCCAATTTTAAACATTAATGATAAAAACAAACCTCTTTAATCAATGGAGACTCTATGAAATCAACAAATATTGTTTTTGCATTTTGTAGTTTGTACATTTCATTGTATACTTTCAGTACATAGACTAACAACAATATTAGGTTATACTTTTGTTGGTAAGCAACATGACATAACAACCATCGTTGGAATGCATTGTTACCAAAATGCACTGGCTTTTCTGTGTATTAGAAATTGTTATATAAGGAAGCACTTCTTTTCTATGTGTTTTTTTTGCTAGCTTGTCTCATTAAAAAGATGTGCATGCACATGCGTGTTTATCTGTGATTTCTATTTGTAATATAAGGATCCACTACTTTTCTATGTGGTTTTCCACTAGCTTGCCTCATTAAAAAAGATGCACATGGATAAGATAAGTAATATTACTCAAGTTCACACCTTCAGGGTCCACTTAGTATGGGTACAAAATTTCAGGTTTCTAGGTTCTTTCCTCCTAGAAATATGGCAGTCATACACACATGCCCTTTTATTATTATAGATTAACTTTAATTATAGTAAGTGCAGGGTATTGCATTTGGCTACTAGAGTGATTCTGGGGATGAAAGGTTTATTTTATAGAGATAGGTCAAGATCATATAACTTATTTTCTTTTGATAGCCCCATAATGGTATGTCTATGGACTTGTACCATTAGAAACTGGGTTTCGATACCCATGGTGGGCAGAGCACAGACAGCTCTTTGTGTAGCTTTGTGCTTAATTACAAACAACAACTTCTTTTGAAAAATGTTGTCCATTAACATTTACCTTGTCTGTTCATTTTACATTTAAATAAGTTTTATTCTCATTTCAGTATTTCATGTTAGTGAGACCATGAAGGTGATCCTTATCTTAACCTGAGAGAATGAGGTAAAAATTTTTGTTTTAATAAATATTATTTTGGTTTTAATCTTACCTGTTAATAAAAACACTAGAGGCAAGGCTTTTCTTTAACTGATGGCTCAAAATCAGCTTCAATGCTAGACACTGAGTGAAAGTTATGTGTTGGATGTGTCATTATCCATCATGTTCCAAGTCTTTGATTTTACTTGTTTCATCACTAAAAAGAGCTTTCACAGATAAATGTGTGCTTTCAAACATAAAAAAAAATTTTGATGCAAAGTTTCATAGTTTTGGGAAATGCTTCCTAGAAACTGACAACCAGAAACTATTATGACTATCATTTTTCTTTGTTAATTAAAAAAGGGTCAGATTACATCTCACATAATTCCAGCTGAAACTTTGATGGCTGTCTCAACGGTAACTTCCGTTGAGTTGTTAAATAGCTCAAGACTCAATTGGAGTGTATCAAAGCCCACAAATCTTTCTTCACACTCAGCAGAAATATTCTCCATTTTTTTGTTCAAAAGTTAAAAATGTCTGCTGTGTTGTCATCTGCAACAATTCTTGGCAAGAAGAGAAGTGGGTAATATAATTTTTCTTGAGACACACTAAATAGAGGTAGTTTTTTTCGTTTCTTTTGTAAAGCCTTGATGTGTCCCACCCACTTGAGGACATTCTGCTGCCTACCTTGCAGTTTGAGGTTTAGCACATTCAAGTGGTTAGTCGTATCTGTCAGGAATGCCAAGGAGCAAAGGAATTGATTATCTTGCAGTTGATCAATATATTGATGTGTGTTGCCAATTTGCTTATTCTGAAGGAAGCAGAGGATTTCTTTTCCAAGAGAAAAGAAATGCTGAAGATATTTCCCTGCACTTAGCCATCCAGTATTTGAGTGAAATGGTAAATCACTAAACTTTGCATTCACTTGTAAGAAAAGATATGAACTTAGTCTTTGTTAATTGTTATTGCTTCATATCATGTTTATTGTGTTGACAACACTGCTAGTTATGTCACTCATATTCTAAACCTGCTGGTCACAATGCAAGAGCACATCTGAAACCCACCATATTCATTAATAACAGAGACAAGTGTTGCATAAATGTCAAATCCTTTTGTACTGCCATCCAAAGGTTGCATCTTCAGTTCTCCATGTATTGAGAAATTTTCATCAATATTGTGGATAACAACCAGCATTTGAGAGATGTCACTGGTATCTGTGCTTTTCTTCAAAGCTACTGAAAAGTATTTACATTTGTGAATGATAAATTTTAGTTTGGAGGAAACTTCTTTTATTTTACTCACTCTCCTTGCCACAATCTGAGATAATGATACACTTTCAAAATTTCTAGCCACTTTATCATCCCCACATGCATGTGCCATTCTCAGTGTGTACTGTTTTACAACTTCCCCATGTCTAAATGATTTTTTATATTTCACAAGCATCAGAGAAACATATGATGCAGTTTGTGGTTTTGCATACTGTGCTAAAGCACAGTTTTGGTTGCCATGTCCATCAAAATATTAGCTCATGATTTTCATACTTACTGGTCATACTTTATTTTGTGTGTCATAATGGCACTTTATGTTGTTTTCCTTTGGTATATCAATGGATTGTAAACATACAAGACACTGCAGTTTACCATTGTTTTCAATAAAGAAAGATTTTTTCCCTCCAAATTCAAGTTAAATACCTTGTATTCATTGAAAAACTTTTGTTTTTTGTAGACATTCCTTTTGGGATCCAATTTACAAATCACTGAATATATTTTTGGCCACTGAGAGCTATAAACCTATTCATTATGACACCAGATTAAAAGCTGCAGATCTACATGAAACATTATCCCTTACGTGATACAGATTGACTAATCAAATCCAACAAAAAAGTGGACCACTTTTAACCTTGCCACCTGATACCACCAGCCAATCACAGCTTAAATTCTAAAATTAAAAGTAACCAATCTAAGCTTGCATTTCATGTGTTATGGGCAATTTATAGGCTAACGTAACAACTGATAGAGAGAATAGGTTTTGTATAGTTCAGCAATAAATTATTCCAAGGATTTAGAAAGTTATTCAAGGCTTATTAAAATTATACCTACATGCTGTTTAAAGTACTGTTTGTTTTTTCTGCATTCATTGTTAAAGCAAAGCATTTCTCATCTTTCTTAAGATACTTCCACAATTAAAAAAATTTTTTTTTCTTGAGGGACTTGCATACCAAAAAACATCTTACAGGCTCTTAGTACAACCACCATACTATAAGATATTTAAGTATGTGTATTTAGGTAAAGAAAGATAAATCCATAAAAGTTACTATAAGTAAAGTAATGACCTTCTAGAGAATTTTGGGAGGCATAATTGTAAGTAGTCTTTTAGGCATAGTTTTTGATCAATATCTTTCAATTTATTTCAGTAATCCGTTAATAATAACTAAAAATGTTATTTAGTTAAATATCAAAGATATCTGTACTTTACATTTACATGTTTAGGTGCATTTATGAAAACAACATTGACAACTGTGTGGTCAAAAAGAGAAGTTTTCCTAAAAAGAAAAATTGCCTTTGAGAATTTCTAAATTTTGTATCTTACTAAGAAACTGAATTATATAGCAAATTAGTTTGTTTGCTGCATGTTCCCCTTTAAATATCTAGTCTCTGGTGGGGAAGTGGTAAGTTTACAGACATGTAGCACTAAAATCCTGGGGTCAATTCCCTGCAGTGGACACAGCAGATAGCCTAGTGTGGCTTTTCTCCAAAACATACAAAGAAACAATTGAACATCTGTTTAATCAATGTTTTCTAGCTATATATTTTGCAGGTTCTGTTTCAAGCCAGTTTTTCCTGTGGATCCTCGTTTTCAGTTTAGTCATCAGCATACTTCAAAAATGGATATCCATAGTTACATGTCATTCTTTTGTGTGATAAATGGTAATTATATATAAATATTCCTTCATTATTCCCACTGAAGGAATGTAGTGGTGCTTCTTTCATAAGAGAAAGAAAATTGTGGCACCTTGCATTACTAGTTTAATTGTAAAGTGTAAAGTTTTCTATTGGCTTACAGAGATGTTCAATGTTCTTGATGTACACTTAAAGCATTATGATAAATGTCCACTTTACAGAGGTCGGCTTGTTTCTGAGGAACTGTTTTAGAGAGAGTTCTCTGTATATTGAAGTAAATGGCAGCCTTTTTCAGGTGATTTTCAGGTGACCTTTGATTACAGTTTGTATGTGGAAATAGATTCACACAATATTCCACATGGACAAGTACAGTTTAAGGCTAATTAGCAAAATGATTCACAGAGATTTGAAGCTGGAGTTGGTGTAAAGCTAACATATTTTCAGTAAAAAGATATTGCACATTGGAAAACTTATTCACTGTTGACAACTTTGAGTTTAAACCAGCTGTTAGGCACTCCAAAAGGACTCAATCACCAAGCCTTGGCTAAAGCTAATTTTGGCACAATACATAAACTTTTCATTGTAAAAACCCTATCTGATACCTCCAGTGGAAGACCAGTGTTAGTAGCATAGACCAATTGGTCAAATTTTCAGTCATTTGGGCAAAATTAGAAGCAGAAAATATAACATCATTAAGATAAAAAATTATACAGCCCCTCTACTGAAAAATCCCCTATATGCCTATGGTTAATAGACACAATGTTCAACTGTTATTTCAGAAGGTGATAGAATCAGACAGTCTTGCATCTTTTGTAGATGTGAGTTACAAGTATGTCTCTTGAGCATATGTTCTTTGTGGGATGACAGATGCTCACATAAATTGTTCCTAGGCTAATGTAATGACATTGCAGAGATGTTCAGAAATATGTTTTTAGAAAATATTATTGCAGGGAACCTTAGTTTGGATAGCTTAGAACCCTGCTTTTGAAAAACCTTTTATGAAAGGATCTCAAATGATCCAGCATTTGTGATACAATTTGATGAAGTTAATAATTCTTGAGTCTGCAAACAGTGGGATCCATTTGTCAGGTACTGGTCAGATCAGAGAGTAGTAGTAGGTATTGAAGGCACTAATGTGTGTGGACATGCAAAAGGTACAGATGTTTCCATATGGAATAATAAACACATTACAGGAAAGTGGTATACAGATCCCATTTAGTAAATCACTTAGTCTGGGATCAGTTAGCCCTAATGTAAATATGACAATTTGAAACCATATCAATAAACAGTAATTTCATATCTGTCAGCTGCTGAAGACGCCATCAACATTGGCACAAATTCACTTTCTTCTGAACTTGCAAACTCTGTTTGATAGGTTTCTGAAGATGTTTCATTGAGAGGACTCTTTAGTCCATATTCTTTATTCAGAAATTTCAGGTATGCTCAACTTGGTCACATTCAGATTTTTAAAAAGCAATTTGGTATCAGTGCAACATAGAAAAAAAACTTATATTTATTGATGTTGAAAAAGAGGACAATCAATTAGCTGACATGAAAGTTTGGGGAATCTTCTCCATTATTGTTGCAAAAGAACCTTGAACTCCAAAAATTTACCATCATGAACATGAGAAATTTTTTAGACTTTGACCGTGGTCTACGAAGGAATATTTTGTCTTCATCCTTTAATGCTGAAAGAAGAGAATGGTGCCTAAAAAAGAGAAAGGAACATTGTATTGAAAATGCCCCAGATGGTTTAGAAACATGAAAATGCACATTTGATTAGATAAGTGGAAAGTATATCAGTTGGAAACTGAAATGAAGGTAAGAAAGGTAGAGTGGAACACTACTGGCACAAAGATTTATAAAGCAAAATGGCTGATGGAATTAACAAATACAACCTTCTGGCCAAACTTTAGAAATATATTTGTGTCTTGCTATTGTCAATGTTATAATTGAAAGAAACCTATCTGAAAGCAAAAACTGCTTACATAGGAAAGGACAGTTATGTAGATAATTCCATCAAAGGATTTTAAATAATGAAGGATGCAGTAAAAAAAGTAGAGTGGGAAAAGTATCAGAAGTACCTATAACAAAGACTTTACTAGAAGCAGACATATGTACTCATAATCTTTACAATCAGAAGATAATTGGCAAAGGCGAAAAGAGTACAACAAAGGAAAGAAGATGGACCAATGGAACTTAATGAAACTTTCAGAAAATTGAAAGAACGAAGAAAGCTAGGAGGTAATAAAAAATCAATGATACAAAAGTTAAACAAATGGGAGAAACTAAGATCAAGAGAGAAGTTTAAAAAGTTAGTTAGGTTTTGTCAGGGCCCTTTTGAGATAGTAAAAGAAAGTAAGGCAGTGGTGAATTTATCATTTTATGCTTATCAAAGTTATGGTGCATAAGGTTTATAGTGATATATAAACTGGGTAGTTCCTATATAGCTTTACTTGAATAAGAGTTTCTTTTTTTTAACAAGTATATAGTGACAGTTTACTGTCATTTTCTAGCTAGACACTCCATTAGAAATCATTTTTCAGCCCATATAAAAGACAAAACTTTTAATTGTTTGGATGGAAGCAGTATAAATAAAGTTTTACAAGTTTTGTTTAATAATATCTAATAGAAAACTGATTTTAATCAGTTTTTTGTTTCTGTATTTTTCAAGTATCAAGTATGCAATGGTAACTAATGCTGAAGATTGGGATTCAGAGGAAAAACATTTAAGAAGCTAATTAAATCATGTATGAGTTTATTTATTGCTGTTTGTTTGAAAAATGGTAAGTTTCTGGTGCAGTTATTTGAAAAAAATTCCCTAAGAAAATCATAAGTGTCCTTAAAATTCCTAAACTTGCTAGTAAAAAATAATTCAAAATAAGTCCTAAATTTTTGCCAAAAGGTGATCGAAAACCAGTTTTATGAAATTTGCATATCCCCAATTCTTTTGAAATTAAGCCAATTTAAAGTGTCACTCTGAAATTTAGTCTGCACAGAGTTATTCATGAAGCTTTATCCTGTTACTTCATTAATACAGAAGGTTGTTAATTACACTTGATAAGAATGACTGGCATAAGTTAGTGCTATGGCATGGAACCACAAGTAGCTCATTTATTATATATGAGCTCATGATGTTTGTAGTTAAAACATTATTTTAAACTTGCATTTTAAATGTATGCTGGATTAGTTTTGAAATGGATATTACATTTGATTATACAATTTTGCACCTATGCTGATGTATATTTTCTAATCCACAGGTTATATCAGAATAATCCTACTATTTATAGGATGGATAATTTCAGACAATTCTTACTGGTTTCTTGTGGTGTATGTGACATCTGTAATGCTTGATGGTAAAGTTTTTGTTTCTATTTGTGTTACTTGTAGTTATGGGTGTACACATAGTTATATCTATATATATTTTATTCCTAAAATTATACAGCTAGTTCATGACAGTATAATTTTTTTATTGTTTTCAGAAATGATTCTGTTGCGTTAGTGGTTGTACACATATGTTCAGGTAAAGCGAAGCTTAATGCCTGTTTCATGAAGCTTGTCTGAAAAGTTCTATTTATATAGCATTAGTAGCTTTGTATTGCAATATCAGTGTGAATAAATAGTCTTAAAAATTAGAGGAATAAGTCCACAAATCAGTGAATCATGATACTTTAAAATTTGTTTAGTTAATGCGAAGCTTAACTCGTTACCTGCCATGGCCATTTTGTCTTATCGTGAGGGCAAAATCACATTTGTGAATTGAAAAAATTATATAGAACTTATCTTTCATTGGATTTCAGATTTTATTTTTGTAAATAGTGGTATAACATTCAATTATTTGTACAAAATTGTATTGTTTAATGAAGTTTAAAGAGGAATTTAATGAAACAAATCATAAAATATGTTTGCAACTGTAAATAAGTGCCCTCTAACAAGAAAATTTTTTTTCCAAATTTTGAAAACATTTTTCCTTCCGGTTCAGCACTGGTCCTGCCATCTGTGATTGGTATCTAAGCCTTTTTCTACTCTGTTTTCTTTATAAAACAGTGTCTGGGTGTGTTAAACCTCGGTTGTAAAACAATTAGCCAATCCTAGTCGAAGGTGTCAAATTCAGTACCATGTTATTCCAATTGCTGTATTTCACATTTGACAAATCATAGGATGATAAGCAAAACACGTGATGAAACATTGTTCTCTGGATTTTACAAAATGAATGTGGGTGGTGCTTATTATAGTAACTGCCATTTTATGTAGAGGTTGTATTTAGTATTGGCCAATAGTACTTTTCTATAAGTGTTAGAAAATGTGCTTTTGGAAAAAACTGCATGGGATGTACATGACTTTTATTATTTTTCTATAGTAGCCTAAGTCATGCTGCATTGTATATCTATTTATATTAATCATAATAAAACGAAAAATTAACTCAAAATACATATATTTTTTAGGAAAGAAGCTGATCCACGATTGTTAGGGTTAAGAGCTATCGAGTGGCGAGTGCAAGGTCTTTACATGAATTAGTCTTAGCACTTTGAAAGAGTTTGTGATTTTTTATATTCTTTTGCATTTAAATTTGTGGTTTTAAATTCAATAATTTAGCATAATTTTATATTTAGTTCATAATAATAATAATAATATGATTCAGTACTTAGAATGATAAACTTGTGTGATTTATACGTAATACTACTAGTACCAGTACCACATAAGAATTTTATATTTTTCCTTCTTACAATCTTTACCTTGTAGTAAGACCAACATTTCTGTTATTATTACTTTAAATCTAGCAGTCTAACTGATATATATAAAGTTTATTCTGATATTTTGCAAATGGTTTAAAACTCAATGTACAAGTAACAACAATAAAACCCACATGTTGGTTGTGAAACAGACTAAATATATTTGTCTCAATAATACAGGGAAGCTATGACATTCTCACAGTTGGGGTCTCAATACACTGAAGAGCTTAAGTTTCAAATTCCAACATAGATCTTGCCTATAATGAGAGGAATGTGATCAGGACTAATCTTTTAAGTACTGTAAAGTAATTTTCTTTGTAATTTATGGTATATGTATCATTTGGTAATCTCTTCTAATAGGATGTATCAAGTAACTAGGGTCAGGTGGGGTTATTCAAACCACCTGTACTGTAAACTATTACATACATTCACTAGTAGTGGCAATTAGTTTAGTTGTATAGTGAATCAACATACACAGACATATG